TAGGCCCAGTGCGTGTTGACAATTTTTTTAAGCTATTTGATTGATAGTACCACGTAGGCCGAAAAGGGGTAGAAAATTATTTATAAAATAAGTTTGGGGGTAATTGTCAAGGACTGCATGTTTTGTTCTAATGAGGTTAAGGGAAAATGGGCCAGGAGCAGGGTGTGTTCAATATATGGATGAATTTTATTTAAATCTAAATAAAAAATGTGACAAATCAAATTATCATAATAGGTCACATACTATTTTAAAGAGGAAAATTTGAATTCAGTTGTTTGAGGGGTATTCTTTAAGCCAAAAATTAAAGATTGAAATATTGTTCGATCTAAAAGTTGAAGGACGTTATTTATGCCCCTAAAATTTCAAACCGTAAGTATAATAAGAATATATATTTCTCATGAGTACTATTAATCATACCTCACAATAATCCCTTCGATTAATTGAGAAACTTCCAATATTGTTTTGAAAAAGAATCAATACAATAATCACTACATAGAGACATTATGAAATACACAATAATAATTAAATTTATATTTCAAAATACTATAAAAATCTAATTTCTTTTTTTGCATTATAATATGGTAGGACACAAACACTTAGGGTGTGTTTGGTATGAAGGAAAATATTTTTCAATTTTCTCATGTTTGGTTGGGTTAAATGATTTGGAAAATGTTTTCCAAATCAACTCATTTTCCTCAAATTTTAAGGAAAATGACTTCTCTTCAAAACTTAAGGAAAATATTTTCCAAAACTCTTTTCCAACTTCAAATTACAATTTTTTTGTTGAAAAATCAATTTATTTTGTCCCTACCCTCAAACCAACCCCCAACCATCCCCCACCCCACCCACCCAAATTTTTTTTTAAAGCTTGCTTTTAAAAAATATTTTCTACTTGTTTTCAAGGAAAGCATTTTCCTTCATACCAAACACACCCTTAAGTTAAAATAACCAAAAAAAAAAAAAAGAGACACAAAATTAGGGGAAACAACATCATACAAATTCACATTATAAAGGAAAATTTGAAATATATAGAAGAGAAAAAAAGAGTTGAAAATGTTCACCTAGGTTGTTGACAAGAATCATTAATGAATTATGAAAAAAATGAGTAAAGGCAAAGGTAAGAGTTGGCGTAGGGAATTAGGCAGATAAATGAATTATGAAAAGGTTAACAATTGAAGCTTATCAAGAAATGAGAAATTGTAAGTTGTAATATCTGATTATGTATTTAATTTTTATTATTAATTTAATTTTATTAGTTAGTTAAAGGCATTTTTAATTAAAAAAATTACTGAAGAATATTTTCGTAATTTAATTTTGAACTTAGAATCTTTCCATTTTAGATATATCAATTACTCCCTCCGTCCCATTTTATATATCATCCCTTTCTATAAATAGTTGGTCCATAATACTTGTCATTTCATAAAATCAATGTATAAATTACCATATTGTTCCTTTTTTACCCTTGTGAGTTATTAGCCTTGGAAATATACATTTGACCAACTTAGAAAAGCTAAGTAAATTATTCATGTTCATTGGTTAAATTAATTAATCAAAATAAATTAATTCATATTTATTGATTGAAAGCTTGAGTTCCAAAAAAAAAAAATAAGGGTAGAAGGGTAAAGTTACATCATTTCTTAATGCAAGTGCAAAGTAAAAATGTGACATATAAAATGGGACGGAGAAATTATTATTTTCTTAATAGATGTGTTAAGTAAAAAATGGACAAGTAAATAAGGACAGAAAGAGTATGACAATACATTTATATAGTATGTTTGGTCAATCTTTTGAAAAGTCGAAAGTATTTTATTTTATTTTTTTAAAAAAAAAAGTTAAGATGTTTGGCCAAACTTTTAGAGAAAATAATAAATATTTTTGAGCAGTAGTAAAAGTTATTTTTTAAATCTAAAAAAACCTTAGTGAAAATTTTTAAAGCTAGATCCTAGGTTGCATGTACACTTTCTACACGTGCACATTGGGATCTGATTAAAATTAGGCAAATTTTCCTATAAGACATAATACATTAATATGTCATATAATTTGACTTTAGCTAAAAAAAATAATATAATTTTTCTTAAGCTAATTAGATACATAAAGTTGATGGACATATTTACAATCTGAAATCAAATTAAAAGATATATTTATCTATTATTGTCTTCCGATAACTATCAACAATTTTGAATGAGCAAATGTGGAAAGGCAACTAGTTAGGCTAACTCATATTTTATCTAGGAATATCAATATTTTTTATCGATTGAATATGAGTTGAAACTCAAATTTTACTTATCTAAACAATCCACTTAAATATAGGCAAATTGACTGAGTTAACAAAATATGGCCTCATTTTTCTAGTACTAATTCCAATTAACATCATATGAAAATAAAATATTTCTGAGCTACCTCTTTTATATTCGACAAACAACAAATTGCCTATCTGATTGCCGTTTGATCAGTTAATATTTTTTTTCTACTTTTTTTCTTAAAAAAATAATTCTTATAATACTGTTCGGCAATCATTAATTTTGTCCTAATTCACAGGACATGGTCTTTGCTTAGGCAATGTAACGCGACAATATCACGCTAACAAAAATAATTTTTAGCGACAATAAATATACATATTAATAAGAGTGCTAAAGCCTTTAATTATCGACATTAGTTAATTGTCATTCTATCAAAAGTCGCTTTAAGACTTAGAAACATTTTAAAAGAGTATTAATTATCACTAAAAATATATATTTAACTAGAATTAGGTTATTATCGTTAATTAATTACCACTAAAAATATTTTTTAATGTAGTTTAACGTTATACAGACTCCTCATTAAAATAATTTAGTTTTGTTTAATGTTCTAAAAAAATGTATCAATGCCGGCCTTGATGTCTATTTTTATTTTTATAAATTATGTCTAGTTGACCGTTTCTAAATATCATACAATATAGTTCCATTATATAAATAGGTGCACAACTAACACGAATATTGCTCAAGTTTTAATATAACTTAACAACTAAAAAGCTCTGCGTCGAATCGAAATGGTAGATATTCAAGGCTACTTGATATTATTCCTTATTTGGCTATTTTCTACCTTATTTCTTAAATATGTTGTGTTTCGTAAACGGAATATATGTCACCTTCCACCAAGTCCATTTGGTTTACCAATCATCGGTCACTTACACCTCCTATCTCCTATTCCTCACCAAGCACTTCATAGGCTTTCAACTCGTTATGGGCCTTTGATTCATATAAATCTTGGATCCGTCCCTTGTCTAGTAGTTTCATCACCCGAAATGGCTAAAGAAGTACTCAAAACACATGAAACTTCCTTTCTAAATCGACCGCAAACATCAGTGGTTGATTACTTAACTTATGGTTCACAAGACTTCTCCTTTGCGCCTTACGGTGTTTACTGGAAGTTCATGAAGAAATTATGCATGTCCGAGCTCCTTGGAGCTCGAACATTAGACATGCTTTTACCTTTAAGACGCGATGAAATAAAGCGTTTTATTGAATTACTCTTACAAAAAGCGGAGTCTAGTGAAGAGGTAGATGTTGAAGCTGAGCTTCTAAGGGTTTCAAATAATGTTATTTCGAGAATGTTAATGAACGAAAGGTGTTCGGAGGACAAAGATGAAGCCGGGAGTGTTAGGATGTTGGTTCAAGATATCGCGGAACTTACTGGGAAATTTAATCTTTCGGATTATATTTGGTTTTGTAAGAACTTGGATTTGCAAGGGTTTGGAAAAAGGACTAAAGATGTACGTAAAAGGTTCGATGAAATGATGGAGAGGATTATGAATGAACATGAAGAAGCAAGAAGGAAGAGAAATGGTGAAAACAAGGATGGAGATGAAAGTGTAGTGGTCAAAGATTTGCTTGATATGTTACTTGATATATCGGAGGATGAATGCGCGGAGATGAGATTGACAAGAGAGAACATCAAAGCTTTTATCCTGGTAAGTGAAAAATCTTATGAGAAAACGTTACAGTCTAATATTTTGTTTATCCTAAGAACTATAGTTGCAAAATTTTTGAAAGTAGAGACAAAATCTGTATTGTACAGGACATATTTGCTGCTGGCACGGATACTGCGGCTATCACAGTAGAGTGGGCACTAGCAGAACTCATCAACCATCCAAGCATTATGCAGAACGCAGTTCAAGAAATTGATTTTGTCATAGGTAAAAGTCGAATTGTGGAAGAATCGGATATCTTGAATCTTCCTTACCTCCAAGCTATCGTTAAAGAAACTCTCAGACTACACCCTACGGGGCCTATGATCCTCCGAGAATCAACGGAAGATTGTTGCATTGGAGGTTATCACATACCAAAAAACACTAGGTTAATAGTCAATACATGGGCGATTAACAGAGATCCTGAGTATTGGAAAAATCCACTTGAATTTATACCTGAGAGATTTTTGACTGAAGAGGAGGAGGGGAACACGAAATCCCAATTGGATGTGAGGGGACAACACTATCATTTTTTGCCATTTGGCACGGGGAGAAGAGGTTGCCCCGGAACATCATTAGCATTACAAGTAGTTCAAATAAGCCTTGCTTCGATGATACAATGCTTCGAATGGAAGGTTAGTGGTGGAGAGGTAAGTAAAGTCGATATGGAAGAGGCACCTGGCATTACCCTTCCTAGAGCTAATCCTTTGGTTTGTGTTCCAGTGACTAGGTTTAATCCATTCACATCAACATCAACAACATCATCCGCTTAGATCTATCATTAACTATGTACCGTTGCTTATGAACATTTTAACATCTTGTTTTTCTTATGTACCGAAAAATAAGTGAGATCCTATTGTTTTTGGAAATATATTAGCATGATGAAAATATGTCTTAAAATGTTGATCAAAGTTCATACTGTTTTGACTTTCGAAAAACAAAATGTGACAAGTAAAAGGAAACAGAAGGGAGTTTAGTTCTAGTCATTTTCCCTCGAACAACAATATAATTAAAGAGTACGATATCTAGACAACAACATGTAGTTGGACCAATAGTCGATTAACAAAAGCCATATATATAGCAACAAAGAGAGTAAACTTTAGAATATAATGGCTGTCAACTGCGAATATGGACAGAAGTTTGTGCAATTGAACCACATATACTTCGGCTTAAAAAAAAAAACACTCCCTCACCCACCAGCACCAGCACCAGCACCAGCACCAGGTAGCAAACATAGAACAACACGACGTTCTGCAATACACACAATTACATTGAAACAATAGTTGAAAAACAAGGTATAAGAAATAATATAACGACGATGGGTGATTGGAAATTCTTTATCAGCTGCTGCCGCCCCCAAAGAGATACCCTAGAGAAGATCCACCACCAGGGGCCGCATGTACTTTGGTAGATGGCCGGTCCTACAACAAGCCAATAACCCTAGTTAAAACCACATAACTTTTCCCTAACAAATGAATTACTTCATCATAATTCAATGGTGAGAAGCAATTAGTTCTAACCAAAGAAGTTGTGTCCTCAACAATTCCTTAAGAAATCAGTCGCAAGGATCAATCACTAACAACCCAATCTAACAGAATGTAAAGATATGACACTTGAGTCTAACTCAACCAAAAGCTAGCTCATGAGATGAGGATTGCTCAAGTCCACACAGCCTTAGTTTTGTTATTACGTGTGCTTGCAGCTTATCAATGTATCATAAGCCAAAACACATTGCAAATAGCAACGACATAAGATCCACACAGACCAAATAGCAATGACATAGGATCCACACAGACCTCTATCTATAGATAATTTATCATTTGGTCGAAATGTGTTCAAGAAACTCATAACACAAAAGATGGTATATGTTAATTATCTTGTCCTCATTCCATTGTTGGAATCAACAAGTGGCAAGATGTAAATCCAATGATCCATCCACTATAAATTTGACGGATCAGATTGTCAACCAGATTCATATGTTTAGATGGTTTGTGTTATGGACCATTCATATGATTTGACCCAAAGGGTTAAACCCAAACGGACTCCTCAGTATATTGGGTCCAAAATGGGTCAAAATAGTGTAACCTGCTGGGTTAAAATACAACCCGTACCAGCAGGTTACCTGTTTCTGAAACTACATTGGAGAAATGGCTGGTCCGTGAAAGGAAATTTAAAATGGGCTTATGGGCACAAACCGATCGTAGGAAGAGGACAAACAAACAAAGCTGTATTCAATAGTTCCCACAAGAAAGCAAACAGCAATCATATAATCTGTGCCCTCAATTTCTTGCCTTCAAATGCAACACACAATACATTAAGTTAATGATTAACTTAAAATAAATACGTTGATTACAAAATTAAAGTTCATAAATCCATTGTGGCAGTGTTAACAAATCCATGCATTACTAAACACAAAATATAGTACTCCACCTTTGAAGCTTTGGCTAAACGCCTCAACTATGTGATATAAGGACTTTCTTTAAGCACGTCTAGTTTCCCAAAAACTTGACCAAACAAGCTATTAATTATTAGAAAGTGGGGACTTGTGGAGATGTCTTAATTTCACCTTAGCTTAGTTATTGGTATTTGTTTTGGCATTACAAGAAACCTTATATTCACTACACAATCAAAATGCATACTATTTGTGCTCCAATTCCTCCCCTATTCCCTTTTGCTTAGCAACGAAAAAACCTCTCCAACAAAGCATAGCAATGAATTTTTCAAGCATTTCAGAGGACATTATAATAATGTTGAATAAGTACATACCGTGATAAAGTTTCCTGTGTTTTGACCATCTGCCCTGATACTTTGAATACCTGCTGGAATCTGCTTAGTAGCATCAGCAGGAGGAGAAGGAGCAGCAACAGGCTTTGAAGATGGCTCTTCATTTATCGTCTGAGCTTCACTTTGAACAGCCTGGGGGTTTGTTTTGGTTGACGTTGGAGCCTCACCATCCCCAAACAAGTATCCTAATGAACTCTGTCCTCCTCCACTACTAACTCCACGACCCATATCTTTGCTTTTTCCCCGTTAGATCCACTAATACCCTGCGTCAATCCAGATGATAAAAACGAAACATAAATATCAAGGATAACGTTGTGATTCTCAAAGAAGCACAACACAAGGAGAACTAGTACAAGCAAAGACCAATAAATATGACAATGTTGTATAGAACTGATCAATATATCACAAAGAAAAAGCATAAGAGAAATTACAAATTTTACTGCAACCATATAAAACTCAAACCGTCATGCTGATGATTACTGGCTTCGGAAGTCCACATGCATCTAAATATCATCTCTAGATGAAATCAACTATAAAGAATCATTTGCATGTGTTCCTCTATTGTTCAATCCGAGTGTTGAACAGGAAACCACCAAATTCCATCAGACCCCCTTGAAAACTACTCTACAACCATTGCCAGTTACATTTTGAAGCAATATTCTTTAGCCGTGCACCCAAGGGGGTGTGGCCTAGTGGTCAATCCAACAAAAACACTAGGTGATTTCTTCTTATCTGTCCTAGTCTTAGTGAACAGAGTTACTTGGTATATGTTGCTAGTGGGAGGTGGCATATATCTTATGAAATTAGTCGAGGTGCACCAAAACTGGTCCAAATACTAAGGTCATAACAAATAAAAAATTGACACCGCTTTATCCTTCGGGGTGGCCCAGTGGTTTGGGCTTGAGACTTCCATGTTGGAGGTCTCAAGTTCAAAACCCTTGCCAGCGAAAGTAAGGGGTTTGCCTTCTGGGTCGATCCCGGGCTTACCTAGTGCGGGTTACCTCTCCTATGTGGTTTGCGAGCTATTGCATAGGAGCGGGAGTTTTACTTGTGCGCACCCAAAGGATAGCAGCTGCGAGTTTTCCTTGCCATAAAAAAATTTAAAAAAATGACACTGCTTTTACTGTTATCATCAATAGTTAATTCAAGCTTTTAGGATTCAAATAAGCTAGAATTAATACCTTCACACAATCTGCTACAAAAGCTTCTTTAATTGCTCAGAGTTACGTGAAAATTGCTCATTGAAGAGAATCAAGACTACTGTACACAACAATTTTTTATCACAAAAAATTAAAAATAATGCAAAGTCTTACAAGCAAACAGAAAAAAAAAACACCATAAAATCCCCAAAAAAAGATGAGAAAACGATAGCTTAACTAAGTGATTTTCCCCAAAAAACACAAGAATTTCAATATGTATAAATGAGAATAGAGAATTAGGGTTTAAATATTTGGGAGTTACCTTTGTTTTTCCGTATTGATTAATGATGAATGAAGGTGTGAATGTGGACAGGGGAAGTAAATGAATGAAGTGTGTAATATATATGAGAAAATGATCAAAATGGTCTTTGATGTATAGGAGTTGAATTATTTTGATCATTTATATGTATCACTTTATCAAAATACTCCTTCATGTATATAAAATAAATAAATTATTTTAGTCTTTAACCCTAAAACTAACCATAAAAGTAAAAAGTGTGGTTAGATTTAACGATGGGTCCCATTATTAATATATTGCAAGCCTTTCTCCCCCAAATCTTATCTCTTCACCCAATTTTTTTCTTCGCTGAAAAACAAAGTCAATCCTTTTTACTATTTTCAAAATTCTCTTTGACTAACTAATTAAAATCATTTAAAATTTTAAAGAACATTTTTTTAATTTTATTTTCTACCTTTGTCCCGTTCAATTTTTACCTTGTATCTGAAAAATAAAATTGAAAAAAAATATGAAAAAGTTATTAATTTCAAAAAGGGGAAAACAACAGAGCTATATCCTTTTCGTATAGAGCTTCAACAAGTGAATATATAATTAAAGCTTGAAAAGAGTTAATTTATGACAATCTTCTAAAAGAAATTAATGAAGTGTTTTAGTTAGTTTATTTAGTTTGTATTTGTGTCATTGGTCTCATGTTTTTTTTTTTTTTGTAGGTATGAAAGTGCAAGCTACTGGAATTGTTTTGTAGAGGTAGATGGAGATAAGAAATAAGTGTAATGTGTGTAATTTTTCTTGTAAGAATATAGCAGGTGGGTGGATTGAAGTTGGAGAATGATCTCTAATGGTGAAGGAGAGAAGATTGAAGAAGAGGCTTGTTGGGTGTCAATAGTGAGGGACCCACATTAAATCTAGCCTCTCTTTTTACTTTTATTGTTAGTTTTAGGATTAAGGACTAAAATAATTATATTTTTATATACATGAAGAACTATTTTGATAGGTGATATATATGAAAGATCAAAATAATTCTACCCCTATACATCAAGAACCATTTTAATTATTTTCTCTAATATATATAGTCACGCAATTTTATAAGTGCTCTTTCACTAACAATTAATTGGGGAGTAATAATGTCACATTGCAACTTGTTAGCAAATGACCAATCAGGACGAGTGGTAAGTATTCATTGATTCTTTTAATTAAATGATTTGAGTTTGAATTTAGAGTATCAAATTATTTTTATTATTCTCTATGTTTAACAGTAATTTTCCACTATACTCCATCAGTTCCTTTTTATATGTCATATTTTTCTATAAATAGTTGGTCTATAATATTTGTCATTTCATAAAATCAATGCATAAATTACCATATTATTCTCATTATACACTTGATAGAGTAGTTAATTAGTCTTGAAAATATATGTTATGACCAACCTAGGAAAACTAAAAAGTAATTAATATTCATTGGAGTATTTCATACATTGATTAATTACTCTCTCCATTCACTATTTTATAAAATCATATTTTGAAAAAAGAAATCTCAACAAACAAACTAAAAATAAAAGATGGAGAAAAAATAAAAAATAATCTTGAAAGTTGAAGCTTTACCAATTTTTTAAAATTTTTAGATCAATTAGTGAAAAAAATTGGCTCCAAAAATAAACTCAAAAATTTAAATAGTCATCCAAATGCATTTTAAATTTTTGAAATCTAGAATATTTATCATTTATTGAAAAGTCGACTTAAGAAAACATTACCAACAAGGATTGTGGCGGAGTGGTAAGTACTCCTTCATCCTTAACCAAGAGGTCTCGGGTTTGAGTTCCCTTGGGTACAGAGTCGCCTTTGTTAGGGAGCGCTTTGCCCCCCCAATGTGGGACTTCCCGGCACGAATTCGGATTTAGTCGGGCTCTAATGTGGGTACCGGACACCGTTTGGGAAACAAAAAAAAAACTTTAGAAAACATTAAATAAGGGTAGAAAGGTAAAATTACTTAATTTTTTAATGCAAGTGCAATCTAAAAAGGTGACATATAAAAAAAATTGAGGAAGTATTATTTTGTGATGTCCAACAATACTTGTCCACTTTATGAAATCAATGAATAATTTACATTATAATTTTCAAGACTTTGTATTTATTATATTCAAAGGATGATATAGTAAAATTACCCTTCTATTTATAGTTTCTTAAGGAGTGTGTCAAGTCAATAATGGACAACTATTGTTGGACAGAAAGTATATTTTTCGTTTATATTAGTTGGTTCCTTTTAAATTGACACTTTGTTTAATATTTAAATTAAGGATATATTTCACTAAACTAACCTTATTAGTAGTGTTTTGAAATGTTAAATTTAAGTACTATTACTTTAAAGAGTCAGAAGCAACATCAAAAATTTAAAGTTTATGAATTTGAGATTCTAAGTCTTATAAGTTAATCAGGTTTTAATTAATAATTTGTGCATATTCAGTGATTTCTTGCTATATGCATAGAGAGTGTTTTTTTTATCGACAGTCTAATGAATTTCTTACCAAAATTATTTACTTTGACCAAACTGGTAATCAACACATTCAGTCCGTCTTTGTTAAGAATAGTATAAAAACAAATCTTTTTTAACATAAAAATAATAAGTAAAATAAACAGTAAAAATACTTCATCTCACTTTTTAAATAAATTTTAATTTTAATCGGACTTCAATATAAATATAAGATAAATGAAATGAATGAGATGTCAATGAAAAGCTTGTTAACAAATAGGCGGGCGTTGAATTAAAAGGCTCGTCAGGTGCTTGTCTTTTTTGAAAAAAAAAAGAATAACAGAGGAAAAAATAAGAAAAGGAATGATAAATAAAATCATATTGATATTATTGTTCTTAAACTTATAATCAAAGATATGAGTTAATATCTCAAATAGTCACTCAACTTTGACTAGTTTACTTAGAAAGTCACTGAATTTTGAATAGTTTACTTAAAAAGTCACTCAATTTTGTTTTATCACTCAAAAGTCACTCAACTATTGATATTTCACGTAAAAAGTCACTCAACTAATGATATTTTAGTTAGAAAGTCATCCAATTAATTTAAATAATCTCTTCATTAAATTTTGTTGAAATACAATTTCATTTTAAACTAATTTTTAAAAAATAAAAAAATGCTCAATTTAACTATCTTATTGAATTTTGTTGATTTTTTTTTAAAAAATAAAATAATAAAAGATCGCTATTGTGCATCTTTTTTATTACTCCTTTTAATTTAGTAAAAGATTGCTATTTAAAACGTTTAGTGTAATTGACAAATTAAAATTAAAATATTACAGTAGCATTGCTTGTAATTTCATAAGAAATAATAAATGATTGTTATTTTAAATGTACAGTAGCAATTAAGAGAAAAAATTGTTTTTCTGTTCTCGCAATTGTTTTGCTGGAATTAAACGTGCTAAAAAATGTTATTGTTCGTTTTTCAAAAAAAATTGTAATTCAATAACTAAAGAAGGTCAATAAATAAGATAATAAAAATAAATATCTTATTATTTCTTAAAATAACAATTTTAAATAAACATTAGATTTTAACAAAATTTAATGAATAAATTATTTAAATATATTGGGTGACTTTCTAAGTGAAATATCAATAGTTGAGTGACTTTTTAAGTGAAATATTAATAGTTGAGTGACTTTTGAGTTATAAAATAAAGTTGAGTGACTTTCTAAGGAAACAACTCAAAGTTAAGTGACTTTCTAAGTTAAGTATGCAAAGTTAAGTGACCATCTGAGGTATTATCTCTCAAAGATATAGAGTTGCAAGTCACGTAAGTTAGTGGGAAAGCATCACTCTTCCTTATGTCTATGAACAGATGCATCTTTCTCTTCTTGCAGCAACTATCCAAATATATTTTTGTTGTATGTATACATTGTCATTATCGAGACCTTAGACATTGACAAAAGAATTTTATGCATGTTTAGAATATGTATACAACACTTTGTTTTTAAAGGTCAAGATAGCATATTAAACAAAAATCAGAAAATAAATAAATAATTGAAAGCAGGGAAAAGCAATAATACCTGAAGATTTTGGAAACTGATTCTAATCTATCTATGGAAAATGAAGAGATGATGAACAGAGGTGGCTATACGCGTGTCTCCGATTAGCAGCAAATGGAACACGTGTTATTTGCTGAAGAGGGACACAATTATAGTACAATTACCATTACTTTTGGTACAACTATTTGCTGCTGTGTTCGTCCAAATGTTATTGGCTTATATAATAGGTTTTGATTCTGGTAATGAAATAGTCGATATTTAAATATGTATAACTAATTAGTGTACTTGAAATGTTGAAGTTTAAATGAAAATCTATTCCTTAAGCATTTTTCAGTGGAAATCTCATGCTAGATTAAGCATTTAGCTTCGACAATGAACCTTTGGAACAAACCAACATTGAAACAGAGAAGAAGTTAATTAACGGAGTAACAAGCACTATTAAGTGTATACGTGTATGTATTAAAATGGATGAAAATCTTAGTGATTTGCCCTAGGAGATATACATAATTACGAAAGTACCCCTGTTCGTCTTCTCCTTGTTGGCTTATAAATAATAGAATATATTGAATAACTCATGTACTTTTTAATCGATAATATAGGTCATACTACACGAGATCAGAGTACTCATATTATTTTCATTTACATATCAATAAAATTCATTTTTTTCTAATAAAATTTATTTTTATTTTTAAATTTTTTGATTTGAAATTGGATAAATATTTGTTAATTATTGCAATCCTTGGTCTAAAAGTTAAGACCCAACAATCATAATAACATAAAATACAGAATTTATTGCATTGCTTCACATTACAAAATATCTTTAAAATATCCTTGATAAAAATATTGTTGACCCTTTTTCATTTTAACTGTAAAACCAAGAATTATATTACCAAATGTTTATCCTGCTTCAATTTTTAAAAATATGTTTTTTATATTATTAGATTATTTTACCATTATTTAAATAAAAATAATGATGGATTATTGTAATCTTGTATGTATGGCTTGTATTATTAGTTAAAAAAAGTACATGATTTATCTATTTTAATTGATAAAATGAGAT